CCAAAATCAGCCCCGTGCAAGTCCAGACACTGCCTTCCTCTGGCACCCGAAAGCAGGGAATGACCATTGGCCCCAAAGAGGTCACGAGGCTGGGGCATGACAGGGACCTGGCTGAAGGCATCAGGCCAGACTTTGTCTGCTCCATCTCCACTCTGGCTGTGTTGCGAGGGGCCTGCTGTCTCTCCTTCCCCACTGCTGGGGCTTGGGACTGGGGCAGGAACTTTTCCAACCCAAATATTTTAACTGTCCTCTCAGTCACGAGTCTTCAGCTTCCCTATGGCCTCAGTGGCTCGGTGCTGTGGAGGAGAGGACCCTGGTGCCCTGCTCACCCCTGGCATACTCAGGGCCTGCCAGAGCACACAGTCAGCAGCCGGAAACAGGAAGCAAGCATGTGGAATGGGGAGCACTGAGAACTAGGAGGGGAGCAGGAAAACATATTAGGGTCTCTCACCTACCTAAATGTTAGCGTGCCTGGGGAGAGATGGGGAATGAGAGCTTCTGCCCACGCACAAGTCGTTTGCTTTCGATGCTGCCCCTCTAAGACATCACTTAATATGACATTAATTAGTTAATGTTTGCAAAGTGCTTTGAACATGAAAAGTGCTGTATAAGTGCTGAATATTAGTACTAATTATTATGGCATGGAGGCTGGCGCAGTCTGAAGAGCGTTTCCCACACCTAATTTCAGGCCGGAGCTGCTTCGCTGCCTCATCCCATAAAAGCCAGACAGAGAAGGGGAGAAGCACCTGCACCCTATGAGGAAGTGCACCCCTCATGGAGTTGTGTGGAGGGGGAGAGCTGTGCACCCCCTTCACTCCAGGCAGGACATTGCATGGGAAGTGTAGCCACATCTCCCCAGTGCCTCACTGGCACTGAGGAGGATAAGGGAGCACACTCTTGCCCCAAGCTCTGAAACAGGCCAGAATTGGAAACATCACAGGGTGGATGGAGGATATACAGGGAGGTTCCTTCAGCTTATCCCACCCATGCCCAAGCAGGAGCACTCAGCATGGGTGGAGGCTTCAGAACCAGACAAAGAGATGAGGAGGAGGTGAGAAAGTTTTGGGGTCTGTGCACTAGACAGCTGGGAAGACAAGTGTCTCCTAGATGTGCATGTGGCAGGGCCGGGAGCTCCCTGGTGTCCCCCGGACAGGCTGCTGGCCTGCTTTGCTGCCTCTCCCCTCCCTGTGCCCTCCTTCTTGGTGAGGACGCTGCTGGGAAGGGTCCCTGGAGGAGGAGCAGAAATGGGTCGGCAGGTGCCCCCAATTACCTTGGCACTGAAGCATCCTGCCAGCTGGAATGCTGGGGTGGCTGTTAGGTGCTACCAGGGGCCCAGAGAAGAGGGATGAGCTGGAGGAGGCTGTGCTAGAGGGGGTGCAGTGAGGGCCAGAGTGGGGAGCCACTGGCGCTGAGCACAGGTATCAGCACGTGTGAGGTGCATTGGGCAGCAGGGAAAACTGCCAGTGCTGTGATCACAATGTGACCCAGCAGTGTCTGCTGGGGCTCCTGGAGCCAGCCAGCTGTGCCTCCTTGCTGCTGCCAAATGAACTGCCCTGCTCTGATCTGCTCATTCAGCTCGAGGTCTCACTTGTCTGCTGTGGGTCACACACAGAGCAGCTTTGTCACTCAGGTGGCTGTCCTTCCACGTCATCCCTCCGAGCTAGCGGTCATGGAGTCTGATGGGGATTCTGGTCTGCTTCAGAAAGCCATGGAGGGTCTCACGGGAAGTGAGAACCCAGTGCAGGGTGAAGGGAAGCTCATTGGTGACACCCTTGCTGCCAGTGGTGAGTGGGAGGTGAGGGGATGTGCCTAGTCTCCTTTGTGGGGATCTCGCCTCCCTGCTCTGCTGCCACCTTACCTGTTTCTGGGTCTGCATCTCCAGCTGTGAGTTATTCCCCCTCTCCAACCTCCTACCTGAGAATTTCTACCAGGCACCCACTGCCAACCCAGCTACTGAGGAAATTGCCATGAGTAGCTGAACAAAACCCCAAAACAATGCTGGAGTCGCTTTTTCCTTTTTGAGCCCTCCTGTGTGTATGAATTCTGACCTTGCTGGCAATTCTTGGTTTGCCGTGAAAGCCACTGTTTTCAGTAGGAATTGGAGCATCAGCCTTTGTGGTATCTTCACCCCAGGAAGAATGGAACAGGAGGATTGATGGTGGAATATAAAGAGAGGCTGGAGCAGGTGTTTTGGAGGGCAGCAGAGAAAGCCCACATATGACTCAAGTTTACCCACACTTACTTAAAATAAAGAGTTGTGGCAAAACACTCTCCTCTTGCCTCATCCATTCCTGTGTCTTGAAGACTATCTTGAAGCAAGACCATCCTCTGAATTTCCAATGAGGACGAAATTGTCCACAGCAGTAGATTCTCTTGCTGGGTTTTGAGCTGGCCCTACAAATACCCCCCAATAAATCCACATAAACGAGGACCAAGTTATAAAAAAAAAATCTTTATTTCATGTACCAGGATTTTTTTTTTGTCATTTTCTCTTTTTAAAATTTTTTTCTTTTTAACAGTCTGAAAAAAACCCACGAAATAAAGAAAATGGAGGTTGGTTTCTTGTACTGGTTTGAGCTGGACATGAGCAACACCCTGGGGAAGATTCTTCCCTTCCAGCCCTTGCCTCCTGCCCACGCTCTCCCGGCGCCCTCCCGCACTGTCCCCTTCCCTCCAGGCCTCGGGGCGCGCTCGGCCCTGTGAATGCTCCCCAGCTCCGAGCAGTGTTGGGTGGGGATGGAAACCCCAACGCCACCTTCCCTCTACGCTGGAATCTGGGGAACTGGCTTTAACTTATTCCTCGGGGGACTCTGGAGAGGGGTGGATGTCCCCTGTGAATCCTTGTGAAAGGGCTGGGGGGCCACGGCAAGGGATGCCAGCAGCGGGGTGGGGGCTGAACACCCAGCCGAGGCGCTCGCATCCGCCTCTTGCCCCGTGGTGCCGTTTTGGGGTGAGCCCGTCCCTCTGCTGCCCCCCGCCCTACCCCAGAGCGGGGAAGGGGGGTGAGGTAGCAGCGGCTCGGGGGGAGCGGGGAGCATCTGGCTGCTTTAAAGCAGAACCCCCGCTGGGAACTGGAGCGGGGACTGCGCAGCTCCTAAAACTGGAGCAGCAGGAATGGGGACGGGGAAAAAAGTCGAAAAGTGGGTCTGAGCTGCCGAAGGGCTCAGCGGCCCCATCCTGCCAACTCTCGGCTCTGTGCCTGCCCCGGGCGCTCCTGCTTTCGGGGGCAGCCCCGAAGGGCTCCTGTCCTCGCCCCGGGCCGGCCGGTGTCTGCGGGTGTCACAGAGGCACCCCGTCACCCCTGCTGCCACCTCCCCTCCGCTTCCGTGGAGGAGCTGCAGGGAAAGCTGGCACCCCGGGGCCCCTTCCCCGGTGCCAGCGAGAGAGGGGGCGGCAGCCAGGCCAGGGGGCCCGGGGGCTGGGGGGACCCAGCTGGCCTGGCCTTGCTGCTGTGGCGGGCACCGCGGCACTCGGGGGCCGCAGGAGAGGGCTGGGGAGGAGGACACAACCCGCTGGGCGTGGGGACAGCCGCTGGCCTGGCTCCCTCCCTGGCAGAGCTCGGGGGCTCGCTGCCGTGGGGCCTGGCGGGCGGCGCGGATGGAGGCCAGGCAGCCTGGGCCCGGCCGGGGCTCACGGTGAGCTCGCTGGGCCCCGGCGAGCACGGGAGCCATTTCAGGGGGCAGCTGGGCCTCACCGTGCCCCTGCATGGCTGCAGCCCTACTGATGTGACCCAGAGGGGATCTGGGCAGATTTGAGGGGTGCGTGGCCACCCTGGGGAGCCTCTGGAGCATTCACAGGAGAGCATGCGCCCGCCAGGGCAAGGGTGTGTGAGCGTGGGCACACGTGTGCGTGAGTGCTGTCCCCCCCACAGCATCCCATGTGTGTCCCCCCCACAGCATCATCACCCTGAAAGGATGGGAGCCCCAGCTGCCCTCTGCCAGCCCCCCCCACCCTCTACCTGTGCCTCCCACACAGCTCCCTGCTGCCTCTTTTCTTTTTTTTTCACAGTTTAAAGCTGAAGAAAACAAAAATTAAAAGAAAAAAATACTATCTGTTCTTCTTGCAAGTAAATCCACTTATTATATTTACATTTATTTATAGCTGTTGTTTTATTAAAAAATTGCCACTTTATATTTTTATGAAACCTCTTTTGTCCTTTTTTTTTTTTTGTCTCTGCGTGTGTGTCTTTATTTACTGTGTCTGTTTGTTTTTTGCACTGTCACCGTTAACCCCAGGGTCTCCAGGGCTGGGGAAGTGGGGAACCCCCTGGGGACACTGTGGAGGGGTGACTCAGCATCAGCTCCTGCACTCCCTAGGGTCACTTTAAACCCCTATGGATCTGTGGAGGATGAGCGGATCTCCACGGATCCCAGGGGAATGGAGTGGATCCCCGTGGGTCTCAGGGGAACAGAGTGGGTCATGGCTAACTCCGGCACCCAGGATCCTCCATAACTGGCCCAAGGACACCGAAGTCACTGGCAGCCAAACCCCCAGCCCCTGTCCCCCAAGAAGCCTGTGCTGGGTTAAAGGTAAGTGGGAAACAAACCATAAAATAAAAGAATAAAACCTCCCAAAATTAAAAAAGCTGCCTCCTCCTCCTCTTCCTCCCATTTGATTTATTGTCATTTGTTATTTCTTGGTTCCCTTTTGTTTTTTTAATCTGTTTTTATTAAATGTTAAAATAATGGTACATGGGAAATCATGCATTTTCTTTTAAATTTATTTCTATTTTTTAAATCTCTTTCTCTCAGTTTTAAGGATTTTCTTTTTTTTTCTTTTTTCTTTTGCTTTTTTTTTAAAGAATTTTTTTCACTGTTGTCTCTTTCCTCATGTTTCCTTTTCGTTTGTTAGTTTTTTTTTGTTCACTCGCTTGTTTGTCTGCTTATCTGCTTGTTCCTTCGTTGTTGTTGTTTTTTTTTTTAATCAGTTTTTT